AAGAACTTGGGAAAGGGCACGAAGGAAAAAAAAAAAAGAAAAACGATAAAAAGTTGTTAAACTTCGGATGCTGCGGGAAGAAACAGCTATGACAAATGAAAGCATTGGGAAGGAGTTTTTATTTTTTTCCCATGAGTTTCTTTTGCAGTGGCAGATTTATAAATGTCTCCGTCTCTTTTCGACCCTTGAACTCATAGTTTACTCGAAGACAGAGGAAGGGTCCGCTCTTTGTTGTTACGATTCTCACTCTCTCTCCACCCTTACCTATCTCTTTCTATCTCAAAAAACGTAAGCAATAGACCGAGAGCTAAGATCTTGAGAAAATTTGACGAGAAAAAAGCAATTTGATTAGTTTTGTACAATTTTGTTTTCATTTTATTCTACAAAAAAGTACTCTGTCTATACGCGGTTCTTTTAAGGGAAGAAAATAGCCGCCGCCCCCCCCCCTCCCATTCTATTTTCAGTGGCTGTTCATCCAGATTTACAATCACGGTAATTCTCTTGATCGTGATCGGTCATCCTTCGTATCTTTAAATGATGAGATTGATATTGCAAATTCAGCTAATCGTGAATCAATGAATTCGTCTTCTCTATTTTTGAATTGTTTACTTTCGTGACTCAAATAGATGAATGCGCAGGTTGAAAAAACATGATATACAGCCTTACTGGAGCTGTACAAATTTGTTATGATATTCTTTTCTTCCTATTTTTCAAGGATCCCGTTTTTGAAAAAGTGAACAGTGAACAAGATGCAGTTTCACACAAAAAAAAAAAAAAAAAAAAAAAAAAAAAAAAAAAAAAAAAAAAATGATAAATAATAAATAAATAAAAATTAACCGAATCTAACCTACAAGCAGAGAGAGAAAATTTCCTCAAAAGCTGTTTGAAAGTTTAAAATGAATCGCAAAAGAGGAAACGAGGTGACAAAATACGCGACAGCGAGTTTTAGAAAAATAACCGAATGCGTGTGGCGGGGTTTCTCCCTGACATAACGAAAACTTCGCCAACGGGCTCATCCGAAAACGTTCAGCCTCAAAGGACGGTTCGCAACGGGGAGTTCTTTCGCGAATCGCGAGGCGACATCCGGAAGAGACAACGCGACACACGCACCAAGACCAACATGGAGCTAGTCAAGACGGCACTGGAGGATGATGCATGCTCACTTAGCGTATAAATATTTAACCGGTTAATTTCCGGAGGCACACACAGCGAGCAACATTGTCAAAGAAATCCTCCACCCTCCTCCTCCACCCCGTTCCAGTTTCAAATCTGCGGGGTGCAAAACGCAGGTGATACACACCTTGTTCGTGATGTTAACGTTATTACGGATCGCGACGTCGGAGGTTTAGGCGCTGGCAGGATTTTCGGGCTGGCAGAGATATTTTCTACACCCACGGTACAAACTAAATCCCTCATAATTATGATTTTTCATTGAGAAGTGTGTATAATGATTGATTCATACCGTGGGTAGTTCGGAAATGAGTTTTGAAATTGTTATACTGTTCCAATGGAACATGTAAATCACGTTAATCATGTGTATCTCGTAATATCATGCAAATAAAGATCTTGGTTTTTTTTGCTATAAAACTAATATCGGCACAGTTGAATAAGCTAATAGATACTTACTTCTCATTTTAAAAACAATGAGGAATGGGAAGTAAATATTTATAAATAAGATTATTCAAATGCAACGATATTAGTTTAACGGCAAAAAAAAAAAAAAAAAAAAAAAAAAAAAAAAAAAAAAAAAAAAAAAAAAAAAAAAATGACGTTATTTGTGTGATAGTTACTTCGCTGTTATACATTACATGCTCCATTTGATAAGTATAAAACGCACATGAGATGTACCTATCGTTCAGAAGTTGGTACGTAAATTCCCGTTACGGGCTGCGCTTATAATTTTAATAAAATAAGGGTGGACTTGGCTGATTTTTTACACCTCAACTGGTGCTAAACCAAAATACCGAAATCAAGACGTGCGCCTCTCAAGGCGCTGTGGGAATCCCTAAAAATTTCCTTTTCTCTTTTTTTCAAAATGATTATTGGTGTGTACCCACCCTGGCATTGTTGAACAATTTAATTTAACGTTAACTGATCTTAAATTTCAAAAGAAAGAGACACCTCAATGCGCATCGATGACAGCACAGAGGCACGAATATTCGTGCTTAATGGACATTCGTGTTGCATCTGCAAAATTAAGAGCACAATAGCGCTGGGCATGAATTTGCAATGCTCCGTTCTCTGCTGGCAATGAGGTGTCGCTCATATTTAGTATGCAAGTTAAAAAATCTAGCCTGAATATGGCCCTGCTATCTTCGGTTGTATTGCTTACTTGACCTTTGAATATTACTAAAAATAGGAATAAGACAGACGGAAACGAACACAATATGGGAATGAGGCAAGGAAAAGGACGCGCGTTGATGACGGCGCAGAGATACGACTATTCGTGCTTGATGGATGTCCGTGTTGCGTCTGCAAAATTGAAGGCGCGATGGAGCGAGGCGTAAACTTGCAATGCTCTATAAGGCCAATAAGGTGCTGCTCAGATTCGGGAGAAAAGTTAAAAGACGATGCCCGAATAAGTCTCTCCTATCATAGGCTGAGTTGACACCCCATTTTTTTCTCCCAAATTAGGCAAGGTCCTAAATCATCAGAGTTGATTTCGCTTCAATAAGTTAAATTTGTTTTTGCTGAGGAGTCATTCATCGTTAAAATTTGTTGCTTCCACAAAATTGCTGTTTTCCGTGAGACTAAGAGTGTGTCGGAGGAATTTCCTCGGCAACAACTGGCAAGGATGCGCTACCTCTAATGACTTATCATGATGAACTATAATAGGGATCGATAGTCTTGTACACTCGGCTCTTCTTCTCACGCATTCAACGGTATGGAGGACGGATAAAATTTGATGAGGTGGTTTCATGAACAAACAAGGGAGTGTATCATATCATCGTGTCACAGTCCCATTGTTGGGATTATCTATAGGCCCTAGATAGACTCAGACAGCTATCAAAACAATCCTACTCACGAATATTATTTATACTCGCAATTTAATTTAAATGCCGCTTTTACCGGCAAGATCAACGTTTTAAAAATGTACGGAAAATATGGCGGGTGGGTGATACGGAATTCATTAATCTAATCATGATAGAAGTCTGATACCGCTTTAACCTTTTTCGATAGAGTGCTTTATCTAAAATTTGAAAAGTGATTTGAGCAGTGATCCAAACTGCTTCCAATTCAGTAGATGGTTTGGACTGAATTGAACAGAAAATTAGCAAGTCACATTTCAGATTAAAATCATTTATGAGTAGTTTTAAACTGAGTCACCGTTAATTATCTCCTGTCAAACATGTTAAGTCCAGGAAATTTCGAATGTGAAATTAGAAGTAGAACAGTATCTCCAGCACTGAGTCTCCCTAGAGTTCTGAGTGCGGCATGTTTTTCCCCCCTTTTGGAAAACGTGGGCACTGTCTAGTGGAAAAGATCTGAGTGACAAGCTAAAAAAGTTGAGTTGAGTTTATAGGTAGTTTTGAGTTGCGAATGGGAATTGCAGACTGCAGTATCTGAGAAGTACCTATGTTTTACCAAATCTTTCCATTTTGGCACCAAATCGCCAACTTCGCGGTAGGTTATTCCAGAGCCTGCTGATATGCACTGTGACCTCCGACCCATGACGCACCGGGCGCCCGCAGTAAAAGAAGATTGATGGATTTCAACGAGGTCCTGACAAACTTTCTTACTTTCAACAAAACTAAGAGTCCACGTCCATTGATTATATATTTTTAAAAAAAATTTAAAAAAAATCCTCATGATTTTTAGCTGAACCACCAGAATCAAAGGAATCACTACATCACATATCACTTTATCACTATACTGCAAAAACCGGTGAAAAACGATTCGTGCGCGACAAATTTCTCAAGTCAACTCAAGAGTTGGATATTAACATATTTAACTTATACTTTTCGCAGTTAGAGGAACTTAAATTGGCCACTGAGCAGTGGCATAACCGACTTCCACCAAAATTTTTTCTAGGGGCCTCCCGTGTCGATAAAATTCCAAAATTATCCCCCCTCTCCCTTCCTCACCCCTTCCCGTTTTCCTCGTATGGTCTAGGCCCGCAGCACGAAAATTTTTGAGAAAATCAGCCTTAACCACCATAAAATCAAAATGGCAGTAGCTTATATCTTTTTACCCTTAGGTACGGTATGTGCAGGATTTAGCCTACTTTTACGTTATGTTCTGAGGTGGAATTTGATTCACTTGCATGTTTGCGCAAATAAATAAATTTAAAAAAAATAAAAACGTAAAAGTACCCGATTAAATAGAGCCTTTAAAGGATCAATGATCTAAAGGAAGGCGGGGGCTCAGCCCAGGCCCATGAATCAAAGGGCCCCCAAGGCTTTTAGATTCTTGGGCCTCCCAAAACCCGAAATACGAAAAGTGACGAAAGAAGAGAAAATTATTTAGGAATTATTGAGTGGACATGGGAAGGCAGGGGCCCTCCAGCAAACAAAAAGTTAGGAACAGTCCAAGAAAAGTATGAAAAATTCCGAGCTAACAATAAAAATCAAAGGAAGAAGCCCCATCTCGATAAGTAAAGGCCCAAAGTTTGAAACCAAAGCTGAGCATCAAAGAGAGAGAGAGAAAAAAATTCCGGCGGCCGAGGGCCCCCTAGGCGCCAGGGCCCCCCTGCATAGCAGAGTCTGCGGGGGCGCCCGTTACGCCACTGCCACTGAGAATGAATTTACAAACATTTGGCAAATTTCTAGTGGCAATTATTACGAAACTTATCTCATATTTCTTTTTTCTTTTATTATGTGTAAAATGACAAAATTACTAGAAATTTCGTCCTTTTGATGATGTAAGGAATTTCCATTGTGTTAACATTGTGTTTAAGGCACTTCATGATTGAGTCTTATACTTCGATGCACAGAATTTATAGGAATGAATAACTTAAGTAGAACCACGTGGAATGGCAGCATACGTTGAAAAAGGCTTACCTTGAACGAGAGATGAGCAAAGTAAACATAACACAACTGAAACAGAGAGAAATAACATAGAATTTAGGATTGGTAAGAAATCAATAAACGAAAGATCAACATAGGTAGATAAAAGTTTAATCCCTCTCATTTCTGCGTCGGATATTGAGCGAATAGGATTAAAATTAATCGAGAAATGTTCACTCATTTTTTTACGAACGCCGAGATAAAGCAAGAGACTGAACAAGTTTAGATGAGTTTATTTTCATTTTTTCTTTTTTACTTTTGCTGAGATAAAATTAAGGTTTCCTCAAAGAGGAATACGAGCGATAAAAACGGAGTGGAAAAATATTGGGCTACAGTAAAACCAATAAATCATAATTCATCTCGCAGAGCGCACAGACGAAAAACTCTATCAACGCGGAATAAAACGGTTATCGAGAGAACATAAATTAGCCGGAGCAACACGAAGAGAGAAATGTATGGAATCTTTACTTTTTCTCGTTCTAGTCTCGCCTTTGGTAAGTAATGCCTTCCCGGCAACTGCGAAGCCTGTAGATGTTTGCATAGGCAATAAGTATGGCAGCAACGGAAGCAGGTGTGTAACACACTCTGAGGACGATGGTAGCGGGAAGAGGAATAAGGGGGCACAGAAGAGGTGAGATTGAGCATTATGTCATCCGGTAAAGCGAAATATTTTTCAAACTTAAAAATGAAGTTGATAAATTAATATATAAATCACGAATACAGCGGCCGGTATACGCAGTGACGCACTGAGTCTCAATGCAAGTGCATGTGGGATGTATCTGTGAGAGCAACTGCATGCGGGAGCGCATCCCTTTGAATCAGGAGAAAGAGATCAATCAAAATGGTCCAAAACAATATTGGTATCTCAGTGATCAGTAGTGAAGAACTTTCAAATTTGTTTTCACAAGAATTGATTTCAGCACCATTCAAATCGTTTTTACCGAGATTTCTTGCTCTCTCCAAGATGAAAGGCGGCGATTAGCCTTCATATGATAGAGTAGGCCAAACTGGGTACTCCCGAGCTAGAATAGTGGTATTCTGAATAGACTGACCAGTAATGCCGATACAATATTCAATACCGTCGATCTAACAGTCTAGACTCAATGCAAAACTAACTAGAATCGATTTCTTGATGGTGTGTGGTACATTCCCTTTTTCTCTTAATCTTACAATTATCATTTCGCAGATGTGTGAAAATAATCCATCCGCATTTAATATGGAATTTTTTTCTTTTATACCTTAAAGATGAAGTCCGCGCTTCAAAACTGGTCATACTGTTGGTTTTTTAGAAGAGATGAATGCGATTACGTCAGTGCAAAAAACGTCTCTACATTTATCTTAAATTTCAGTACGCGTCCACATAATTTCAAACACTAGGTCCCAAGACTCAACCAGCGGGGCTTGAAATGCTTGCAAATGTCAAAATAACGTACATGTGGCTGTATAAAATTATTCAATCCTCCCCCACTCTTGCTCCTTCAACACCACTCCTCCTTTCACTACAAAGGTTTAAATATTTTGAATGAATTTAGCAGGAGTAAACAGTAGGGAGTTTAGGATCCTAAAAGGTATATGAGTGAATAAACTTATCGGACAAAGCAATGTTGATGCTGTGAGTGGTTCGGTGTTAGACCCGGTGTTTAGAGTATTTGACTCGGAAATGATCCTTTCTATCTACCCACTAATTTTCCAGGCTTTAGACCCTGCTTTTGTTACACTCAAAAGTCTGAAAACTTTTCTCTTTACCTTCTCGTAAATTACATGACACAACTACACACTAAACGGTTATCAAATTGAAAATTCCTGTAAACATTACAAGTGGATTGCATTTTTCAAAAAGGAACCACTAGCATTGCAATGATGCTAAGATTGTGCAATTTCATCTTTTGCAATAAAATTGCGGAAATCGTGAAAAACTATGAAATTTAGATGGCAATTTTTGTCTTAAAACAGTTTTTAGCGAGTAAAATAGAAACTATGAATGGATAATCGGGTTTTTCCTCCAAGACAAAAGAAGTTGCAAAATCTTAGCAACATTGCAATGCTAGTGGTTCCTTTTTGCAAAATGCAATCCAAGTATTAAAGTGCCAGGATGCTTGAACGACTCTCCCGGTCCACTATAGCAGTGATGTTTTAAGGACTTTTTATTAATCCTTCGTAGTTAAAAAATGTCGGAGCACGTTATTTAATTGCACGCGTCATCGTGGCACTGTTAATTGGTGGATTTTGTTTTGAATTATTTTCGGTGTGCAAAAAGAGATACCGTGCGATTCAGTGCGATTACTAGCAAAGGTCAAGTGATCTCGGGAGCAGTGAAAACAAGGTTGCCGGCTGTTACCTAAACATGCAAGAATAATTTACAAACAAGGCCTCATCAATCGAATTTGCATGTTTTTAAATGAGTGAAGATTGATTTCGGTGATCAATCGGGCGTTTTGTAGGTAGAAACCATTCAATCAACGGCACTACTACTATTTAAGAATGAATCTAGAACTAATAAACACTTAAAAATTTCTCCTTAAAAATAGAATCATCAGACCGGCAAGAATGCTGAGTCCAGTTGTCAGTGCATTACCCATGAATTCAACTTTCACTTCCCGAGATAACGAAGGGAGCAGACATTTTGAGAAAATCTACTTTCATGGATTTTGGCAAGTAATTATGAGGAGGACAGCATGTAGTTTTTCCAAGGTTGTCAATAATAATCGATTTGACCATACTAAAATATTACCTAGTTTGTTTGATAATCGGTATAGTTATAACTTTGATCATAAGAAAGAGCAAAGATTTATTTTTTGCATGTTACGTAAAACAGTAGTATGAAATACCTCCTGTTTGCATGTCAACAAATATCATTATTGAAAGTCAGCAGAGAGAGTGTCAATTTGCACAAGACTGCAATAATGCAGTATATCTTACAGAGTAATTTGTATAATTACAGCTATCTTACAGGAGACTACAACAACTTTTACATGCTTTCTCATATCTCTCGATTTTTGGTAAAAAAAAAGCAATATTTTCATGCATATTTCAGCATGATCAACAAATTCTCCAGACCTGAATTAGTCGCTTTTTTAGGAGCACTCAAGTTTGAAAAGTCGGTCAAAACAGCAATACTGCTTTTTTTGTAGCGCAAGAGTACTTCAAAGACTTTAGACTAAAAATACATGCTTCAGATCGTGACGCTGCGAATCTCAAATGTTATTTTGTTTTCCTCGAAAAATTATGACAAGTATAGTTTTTCTAAAATTTCCGGGAATTTTATTCCTCAATTCTGAAATACTAGTAAACAATTCGTCGTTTCCCGGACAGAGGGACGTAACTCCATTCCGAGGTTGCAAAATTGACTCAAACAATTCAATCTTATATAAACATATATACGTGAATTTTTGGTCTACATTTTTTCTGAATTTTGCATGCGATCAGAAGAAAAATCAATACAATTCTCAATTAGAAATGCCCAAGATTCGCCTAGTAAGAGTGCAATTTATGCGGAGATATTTGGCAACATCTAAATGTAGTTACGTTCTTTCGTAAGAGAAACGAGAGTTTCAAGGAGATGCTTTGTTTATATGGCTTCCTTGGAAAAATGAGATCATGATTGAAGATTTTGAAACTTTCAAAAGGTGACACGCATTTTTCAACTCTGACCATTGATTTGCAACACCGAAGAAAATGTGATGCTGATTTAACATTCTGGATATAAAAAGTGTGCGAGACCCCACAAAACACTGAGTCAACCGCCAGAACAGTTCCCTGGAAAAAAAAGTCGCTTAGATCTTGAGTCCAGACTCTTAAAAACATTGATAATTAAACATACTCTCGACGGAATCGGACTTTTTTCTTGAATGGAAAGGATCCGCCCAAATCAAGAGGCTAGGCTCTCCGATTCAAGGAAAAATCGGATTGAATCAAGAGTATTTTTTATTGTCAATGTTTTTAAGAGTCTGGAATCTACATCCAAGCGACTTTTTTTCCAGTGTTAATTTTACATCTTGACATTGCTAAAGTAACCGCTGTAGCGGTTAATCCAACGTTTTGCGAGTTCTCGCACACTTTTTCAAATCCAGATTGTTAAATCATCATCACTTTTTTCGGTGAATTAGCGGTTAACGACCTTGACTGACGAAGATTAGGGAATTTTTGCCGTGCAGGAGTGAACGATTCACTTGGCAACGAGCCTCCCGCTTCATTGCCGCAATTTATTTTCAATTTCCCCGTTTCCGCACCGGGCACTTGATAATTATTTAATGGTCAAGTTGAAACAAAGCCCCGGCTATCCAATTAGGCGGCTAACACCATCCCAAATTCGGGCTCCCCAAATAACGAGCCCACGCCCCCCTCCCCCCACCTGCTACGCTCCCGTCCGATTATGCACACCTCGCAAAATTGCGTCCCCGATCAGCGGGACGATAGGTCCTCCCTCACTACACCTATGGGCCCTTTTGGGGCAGATTCCCCCGAACTGAGTATATCCGCATCACTGCAGAATTTGGTATATTACAAATGCTTTAGCGACAGTTTAAACAATATGCGTGATCACCCTCGTATTGCTACTTGATCTCATTCGAGCGGATAAGTCAATTTGCACAAGAAAAAAATACTGAAGAAACACTTATGAAGTCAACACAAGTTTAATATGTAAAAATAATGATTTATAGGACTAGCTTGTTCTTTTTATAAAAAGTGCAAGTGAGTTCAATACATTATTATTCATAATAAAAATATTTTTTTTTTTAAAAAATGAGTAGTCAACTTGTTATGACCAACTTGTGGTGGTTGTACATATCAGTAAAAATTTAACTCGCACATTATTAGAGTATTCTGCTGATATAAGTGAAAAACTTCTAAACTCTTATTTTTTATTTTTAGTTTTTTGAGTATCGGAAGTGTTGCTCCACCTGGTCAGGAGGAGGAATTTTTGGATTGCGAATGATTTTAAAAATTTGGACTTCATATTTTTGAGGAAAGTAGGATCTTAGAAAGGAATCCGCAAAGGGAGTTACTATCCGAAAAAAACGAAAATAAAC